TGAAATAGCCATCGAAATTTTGTGACGCAAACTTTTGGTCGCTAAATAAAAAGTGAAACCAAATTCTATTTTGATGGCTAAATCAGTCGTTAAATTGCGATCTGAATTAACTCGATCGCTAATTGCGATCGAAGTTAAGCTGTCTCTAAATCGGTTTTTAATTACGATTGAATCAACTCTGGTCACTAAATTAGTCGCTAATTACAATGAAAATTAAATCAGTCACTACTTGCGATCGCAAAAGTTCGTCGCTAAATGTATTTTTTCTAGTGAAATCACTTCAAAAACTTACTTCAAGTTTTTACAAAAAAATAAAAATAAATTATAAGTAAAAAAAAAATATATATATATATATATAAATTTTGTTGTATAAAACAAATGCAAGATATTATTACTTAAAAATAAAAACTAATTAGTATATTTTGTTGTAAGTAATTATTTGTTGAATATTATTACTAATTGCAAGATCATGATCTTAATTTTGTTGTTATTTAAAAATGTATTGAATTTATATACTTTTATTAAAAAACTTTAAAATTCTTATTATTGCAGCGAAGAATTCCAGGTCTATATATTCGAATAATATGTATACAAAATTGTTATAAGATGATGACTGATGAGATTAGTTTTTATTCTATTCACTGAATAAAATACATGATATAACACAACAAATAATAAATATGAGATGTAAAACCCACTGTTACACTGGGTTCGCATTATCTCAGTTACCAATCACTTTTCTTATCCAACAATGGTAAAGAAAATGAAGATAAGGAATTATGCTTCTTCATCCTCTTCTTTCTTTTGCCTTTATTTCTTGATCAATTGCTAGTATAATTAATTGTTTTTCTATCATCTTTATTTCTTAAATAAATTAAATGTTAAAGTTGGATAAATCTTTACTCTTATCCATTTGATAATCACATTTTTTAACATTTAAAGTTAACAAATAATTAATCATATGGAATATAACGTAATGTATGAAAACTAAAAAATAAAATTCATAAGTACAATAAGAAAAACATGAATTTTTTTATTAGTACATTAGTATAAGACCAAAAGATAAAAAAACTGTTGGTGAACTTTTATATATATATATATATATATATATATATATATATATATATATATATATATATGATCTAAAATAAATTAATAAATGTAATAATATGAACAAAATAGTTAATTAGACTAAAAAAATCTATGATTGCTTATAAATGATAGCATGCGTTGTTAATAGAACAATATTAGTATAGAACAAGAGATTACGAAGTTTCTAATCCATTGATTATTTGCTTTTGTTGATTTAATTGACAGATTCAACCCATGAGAGAAAGTTACTTGTCAGATATAAATGAAATGCTTCAAAAAGATACATTTAATAACTGCTATGGAAATATAAAGTTTTTTTTTTCCATATTAAATCAATACGAGAAAACATATTAACATTTTTTATTGAATTTATAGATTTTTATTAAAAAAAACTTCAAAATTTTAATTATTGCACCGAAGAACTCCAAATTTAATTCATGTGAGAGAAGATTTTAGGTTGAATAATATGTGTGCTCAAAATTTTGAGCTAACTATACTAATGATATTAGTTTTCACTCAGTAGTTCATAATATAATAAAAAATTATAAAGATAAAATTGTTAACAGATTTTAATTTAAAGTATGAAATTAAATAATTAATGAATATATAAATTATATTTAAATAATTAAGATAAATAGTCTCATATTTTCTTTGACACGTCTATAACTGAAAGATAAGATGTAAGACTTTCTAATATGGTTAATAATCCAAAAAATCTATCTTATATTTTTAAATATAATTTATATATTTATTTCTCATTTTACTTAAAAATTAATTGCTTTTATTTTGAAATATAATAATTTAATCTATTAAAATAAAATTATATACATTAAATAATAAATTAAATATAATTAATAAGTGAATTGATAAAATAGGAAAAAAAAATGAAACAAACGGTGAAACCTTGTAGTGGAAAGATAAAATAAGAGTATCTTCTATAAAACGAATTTCACAGCCACCCTAAAACACATATCCAAGAACTCATATCCTCCCACCCACTCAAACAAGTTATGTTAGCATATTTTGCATCATGTTGGGTTAGTTTCCGTAATTCATGTGTTTGGTGTGATTTGGTAAGATGAGAAGTAAAACCCATTGTTATACTGGGATCACATCATCAATGAGTTTTCTTGTCCAACAAATTATAAAGAAATCAAAAGAAACAAAGAAAAGAAAACGCAACAACAATATTCAGCTTAGTTAAGTGGTTTTTTGCGCTAAATTTTGCTACTTGGTGAGGTTGTTTTGTTAGAATTAATTTAATTAATTCATTTTATTAATGTGATTTATGTAAAAAATAATAATAGACTCAATTTTATTTAATAAAATATAAAAATTTATATTATGAAAAGTCGAATAAAATAAAGATAAAATAAAATAAAAATTATGAGGTAACCAATTTGATCAATGTTGGTTAATAAGAGGGATTCGAAGTTCGCTTCTGGTTATAAGGTTTTTTCACAAGAATCATTAGAAAAGTGTGAGAGAAGAAAGAAAACTAAAGACATAGATTGAGAAAAAAGAGTTTGGATAACAAAGAGATTAAGGAAGATTCTCATGGATCAAGGTTAGTCTTGTTATTATGATTTATATATGTTATTATGTGACAAGAATCTGAAGATTGTAGAGTTGTTTTCTAGAATGAAATAGGAACGTACAAAAACTACAACTTACTTTATATGATTTCAGTGTCAGGTTATTAGATTTATTATTTGTCTTATCCGATAGTTTTTTACAAATTATGTTTTTTTTCAAAGTAAGACAAACCCTAATTATTAATTATAGATTTAGGGATTTCTCTATCAGATTAACATGAATCATAATTTATTTTTAAATTTGTTTTTTCCAAGATTGAATAAAGGAATAAACCTTAATTCATGTTTACAGTTGTAATCAATTTCAAATCAAAACCAATTTAAAATTCTGTGTGAATGATCCTGTAAAATATGAATGACCTCATAATTAATCTTAATTGAATATTGAAATTGGGATGAAGATTTTAATTAAAAAGACAAATGATGTGATTAGGTTAAGGATATGAATCAACTGCATATTATAATTATGATTTATGATAATGATAGAAGAAAGATAAACAGTAAAATTGATGTTTCTTCATGAATGAAGTGCTGTCAAGCACTGTGCACTCAAAGACATTTTTTTAGTAGTGAAAAATTAGCAATATATGAATTAGATCTACATATTACGTTGTCTACTTCTTATTTTGTATATTAAGTGTTTTTCACAAGTTGTTCATATTTCAAATCATTTTGGTGTTGTTTATATTTCAAATCATTTTGATAGTGAATAATTAGCAGTAATTATGCATGACTTAGATTTTATAGTTATATAAATTTATTAATTATATTGTAATTATAATGTAATGTGTAATTTTCTTTAAGGGATGAAAGAAAATTATAGAGTTATTTTTATATTTTAGTGAATTGTAAAATATACTCATGTTGTTATTTGTTTGGTTGAAAATTGTTATTTGTTGAAAATTTCAAATCTAGTTATAATGTGTAATTTTCTTTACATGGATGAAGGAGAATTATAGAATTATTTTTATATTTTGGTGAGTTATATAGTATACTCGTCTTATTGAAAAGGGTTAGTTATTTGGTTGAAAATTTCAAAATCTAGTTTATGAATAATTGATTTTGAGAGCTAATTGTTTGGTTGAAAATTATTATTTGTTTGTTTGAAATTTTCAAAATCTAATTATAAATAATTGATTTTAAAATATAATGTAGTATAAAGCTTGCGTGTAAACATAAATTTTAAGATTTAAAGTTATTTTAATTTCAAATTATTAATAATTTTATTTTAATTATGCATGTTAAAATTATAAATAATTTATTTATTGGTTAATTGATGTTTATTATTATTATTATTATTATTTTCGTGTGTTATTAGTTTTAGATTCTCTGCCTTTAACAACGGAACAATCAAATGACGATGATTGGAGAGAGGAAGTGTATCAGAGGGTAATTATTTGTTTTTCTATTATCTTTAATTCTTAAATAAATTAAATGTTAACATTATACAACAAATAAATATTTTTTTACGTAATTTTATACACTGTACCAGATAAATAGAAAGAAATATAAATATAAGTTAAGTATATAAATATCATGATAAATATAATAATATAAATATAATTTAAGTATATCTCTAATAAGTTTGAAAATTATTTACTTGAAACAGACTTGGTGAGCCTATCATTTAACTGAACGAGGAAAAAATGAGAGGGTTAAAATTTGACATTGATAACAGATGATTCCTAATTTTATTTCTTGGTATCTTTAATATGATATTAGAAATAATATTGAATATATAAAATTGTTATAATTTTTTTCTCTGGTTCACTATTATCTTCAAATTAATTTTATATTAAGAAAGTTAGAAATTCTTTGTTTTCGAATTTTTTATAATCTCTTTTAAGAAAGAGTGCACCGTGAATTTCAATGTTATGATGACATTAGAACGCATTTAAAGTTAACAAAATTACTTGGTAACTAATCACATGTTAAAATAGAGGAAAAAAACATTTTTTTTATTAATATAAGAACCAAAAGATAAAAAAAATGTTAAGAATAAGTTAGACTAGAAAAAATCTATGATGGTCTACAAATGATAAAAAAAAAACTTTCATGCTTTGTTGATGGAACAAAATTAGTATAAATCTTAGAACAAGAGGTTACAAGGTTCTAATCGATTGAATATTTGACTTTGTTACAGATTAAATACATGAGAGAAACTTTCTCGCCAGATATACATGAAATACTTGACGAAGTTACCACTAAAATTCAGCAGGTATGTTTAGTAAAACTGCTATGGAAATATGAAGAAATTTTTTGCATCACTCTTATTCTGGAAAACATTGGAGAATGCAGAGCTTTATAAGCACTATGAAAGCTGAACGGGTCACTTTTGACTGTTGTTGTTTTTATTGGTTTTAACCCTGTATCTTCTTCTCTTTATCAGCACTATTCCTCTCAAAACCTACTAGAGCCAGATATTCTTGAAATGCAGAAGGAAATTAAAATGATGTTGGAACGTATTATATCATTCCTTGCCCTTACCAAGAACGAAATATTACCTGGTATGAAGGAGATACTGCGTTCATATGAGAATAAACTGATGAATTACATCAATGAATACAGACTTAGGAAAAGCATGCCTCCATTGCAGTCTGAGCATATGCCTCCCATGCCACAATCGCAATCCCAACGTTCTCTTGTGCTGTCTCATGGAACTTCTCAATCGCAAACATCAAATTTGGTCGACCGTGCATCAACAACGCAACAGATTAATATGGCAGTCTCGAATCATATTAGACTGTTTGGGGTATCTATACAAAAACCGAGAACGACAAACACAACTCGACCAAGTCCCAAGTCAGATTCAGATAACTCACATCAACAAAATCCCGATTCTGATACCAACTAAATTCCTTTTTTGTAGTACAATAAGAGAGATGTTGCTACTCTGCAATAAAGATTCAACACTTTTTATGTGTTGTCATATGTCATCATATATTTTCTAGTTCAGTGTGTGCAAAACGATTCAAAACAAACAAACATACGAGTATCTGATCATGGTGATGTACGGAGTCAATCATCTATGAAGTCGCACGTTCAAATATATTGTCAAGCTCTAAACGGTTAGATTCATGTGTTATTTTGTCCTAATTCCATATCTTATTTTGTAAATATTGCGTTGTTGTCCGTACTCCACCTCTCATTTTGTCCATAGTACGATTTTCACATTTTGTTTATATTTCAAATCATTATAATAGTAAATAATTAGGAGTTAAGTCATGACTTAAATCTACGTATTATTTTATCTACATTTTATTTTATACATATAAAATATTTTTGATGCAATACATAACTTAGATATACATATTATTTTGTTCACCTCTTATTTTGTATATATTAAATATTTTTGACAAGTTTTGTTTTTAATACACTGCATAACTTAGATTTACATATTATTTTGTCTATATCTTATTTTGTTTAAGTATTTTTGATAATTTGTTCATATTTCAAATTATTTGTGTTGAACTTATTTGGCAATTATACGTAAATTTTTACTATTGCTAATTATAATGTGTAATTTAGTGTAATTTTTTTACGTGAATTAGAGTTATTTTTATATTTTGATGAGTTATACCATATTCATTATTTGTTTGGTTGAAATTATTACTTGTTTGGATGAAAATTTTAATATGTAATTTTTTTATGTGGATAAAGAGAATTATAGTTATTTTTATGTGTTGGTATTGGTGGGAAAATATCGAAAATCTGAATCGAGAATAAAATATCGAAAATATCGATGACTATGTGCTGAAGAAAATCGAGAATCTGAATAAAAAATGGATAGGAGAAATTCGATGACTATGTGCTGAGGAAAATCGAGAATCTGAATCGAAAATAGATAAGAGAAATTCGATGACTATGTGTTAGGGAAAATCGAGAATCTAAATCGAAAATAGATAAGAGAAATTTGATGACCATGTATTAGGAAAAATCGAGAATCGGAATCGAAAGAAGACAGAGGAAATTTGATGAACTTGATTGGGAGTAAAAAATTGATAATAGGTATTGAGTGTGAAGTTAAGTTTGAGGAAAGTCAGAAGCAGTTCAAAGTACTCGATGTCTGGAATCGAGATCGAGGGAAACAGTTATCATGCATATGGGAATATGGTAGCGGTTTCTAAACCGTTCTTAGGTAGTCAGAAGCAGTTTAAAGTACTCGATGATTGAGGTCGAGATCGAGGGAACGGTTATCATGCACATGAGAACATGGATAGCGGTTTCTAAACCGTGGCTAAGGTCGAGATCGAGGAGCAGTTAGCGTGCACATGGAACATGGGTAGCGGTTTCTAAACCGTGGTTAAGGTTGAGATCGAGGGAACAGTTAGCGTGCACATAGAATATGGGTAGCTGTTTCTAAACCGTGGCATGGGAACGTGGTAGCGGTTTCTAAACCGTTCTTAGGAGGTTACGTTGAAACAAGTCTATAAATAAAATGAAACATGAAGAAGGAAAGAGAATTTTCAGAGAGTGCAGAATCTATTGTGCAAGTCTACCGGAGAACGACGAATCATGGAGTTTTTGACGATCTGAATTTCCACTTTTGTTACCGCTTTCTGTACTTTCCTTGGTACTTTATCTTTAATGCAATTTAATTTTACGTGTTTGTACTTTCATGTTATTTCAATTCCTTGTCATTTACAGTTATGCAATTTAAGGTTCTGCATTACATCTTTGTCTCGATATCTTTTAAAACTTTCTTTACTTTCTCGGTAATTTAATTTATCTACTCGCAAGTTAAATTTACTTTTCTGTACTTTCCAGTGATTTCGATTACTCTTAGTGCAATTTAATTTTATGTCATTTACTCTTAGTGCAATTTAATTTTATGTATTATTTTGTTGTCTCGACATCTTTTTACTGTTTTCTTTACTTCTGTTAATTTTCATATTCTCGAGTCTTTTAATAAAAAATACAAAAAAAGGAACTTTGGATTTCAGTCTATATATATATATATATATATATATATATATATATATATATATGTTTTATTACGTTTTTCGTGTTTTTAATATTCACGCTTTGTTTCATCGATTTGGTTCGATATTTTGATACTTTCGGTTTTCATACATTTTTAATTGAAAAATTGTTTGCTAGTTTAAATAAAAAGAACTTACGTGGTTGAAATTTGGTCAAAACTTAAGTCTTTAGGAAATCGAAACAACCAAAAATTTACCATAAACAGTTGATGAGTTATATAATATACTCGCAATTATTATTTATTTAGTTGAAAATTGTTATTTGTTTGTTTGAAAATTTCAAAATCTAGTTTATGAATAATTGATCTTAAGATCCGGTAGTGTAATTTGTTGGTTGAAATTTTCAAAATCTAGTTTATGATTGTTATTTGTTTGGTTGAAAATTTCAAAATCTAGTTTATGAATAATTGATTTTAAAATCTAAGGTAGTATAAAGCTTACATGTAGACATAAATTTCAACATAGAAGCTTATTTTGATTTCAAATTATTAATGATTTTATTTTAATTATTTATATGAATATATACTAAAATAATGAATAATTTATTTATTGGTTAATTAAAGTTTATTATTAATTTTTGTATAAATTTAAAGATCTAAGATTATTTTGATTTCAAATTATTAATAATTTTATTTCAATTACTCCTATTAGGAATATATGATAAAATTATAAATAATTTATTTATTAGTTAATTGAAGTTTTTTTTTTTTTTTTTTGGGTCACTAGATTATTTGCGTTCAACAAGAGGTGACGGGAGAGACAAAGTGTATCAGAGGTAATTACTTGTTTTTGTGTTATCTTTATTTCTTAAATAAATTAAAATTTAACATTGCACCACAAATAAATATTTTTTTAGGTAATATTATACACTGTACCACAAATAAATAGAAAAAAATATAAATATAATTTAAGTATATAAATATTAGAAAAAAATATAAATATAATTCAAGTATATAAATATCATGATTAAAAATATGATAAAGAATATCTTAATAGAAAAAGACTGTTAATTAAAATCAATTTGACCCTCACTCCAACATTTTCCTTTAAATTTTCACCTAAATATCTCTAATATTGTCTAGGTTAACCCTAATCAAATCTTACGAAGACCGAGAGGAAAAACTAGAGAGTGTTAAAATTTGACATTGATTAAAAATACAATAATATTTAAATAATATTTAAATGATTCCTATTTTTATTTCTTGGATAGATATCTCCTTTTTTAATATAATATTAGAAATAATATTGAATATATAAAATTGTTATAATTTTTTTTTCAGTTTCACTATTATCTTCAAATTAATTTTATATTAAGAAAGTTAGTATAGAGGAAATTCTTTGTTTTCTAATTTTTTATAATCACAATCTTTTTTTTAAGAATGAGTGCACCATAAATTTCAATGTTATGATGATATTAGAACGCATTTAAAGTTAACAAAATTACTTGTCAACTAAGCACAGATAAAAATTAGAGGAAAAACATTTTTTTTTATTAATATAACAACCAAAAGTAAAAAAATTGTTCGTGACATGAAATTTGTATACATAGGATTTAAAATAATAATAATAAAAATTGTAAGAATAAGTTAGACTAAAAAAAACATCTATGATTGCTTACAAATGATAAAAAAAAAAATTCATGCTTTCTTAATGTAACAAAATTAGTACAAATTTTATAGAACAAGAGGTTACAAGGTTCTAAACCATTGAATATTTGACTTTGTTCATTTAATTGACAGATTAAATACATGATAGAGAAACTTTCTCGCCAGATATATATGAAATACTGGACGAAGTTACCACTAAAATTCAGCAGGTATGTTTAGTAAAACTGCTATGAAAATATAAAAAGTTTTTTGCATCAGAAAACATTGGAGAGTGCAGAGCTTTCTAAGCACTATGAACGCTGAACGGGGTCCCTTTAGACTGTTGTTGTTTTTATTGGTTTTAACTCTGTATCTTCTTCTCAGCACTATTCCTCTCAAAACCGACTAGAGCCAGATATTCTTGAAATGCATAAGGAAAGTTGTAACGTATTAATTATATCATTTTTTGCCCTTAACAAGAACGAAATATTACCTGGTAGGAAGGAGATACTGCGTTAATATGAGAATAAACTGATGAATTACATCCATGAATACAGACATACTGGGATCACATCATCTCCGTTACCAATATGAGTTTTCTTGTCCAGCAAATTATAAAGAAATCAAACATAAAAGTGAGTTTTCTTGTCCAATAAATTATAAAGAAATCAAACATAACAAACAAAGAAAAGGAAACACAAACACAATTCAACTTAGTTATTAGATTTTTTTTTTTTCGCTAAATTTTGTTGGGCAATCTTGTTCTTTCTTTTGGCTTTGTTTCTTGGCCAATTGTGAGTTTGTTGTGTTAGAATTAATTTAATTTATTTATTTTATTATGTGACTTAGGTAAAAAAATAATAATAAACTCAAATGTGATTTAATAAAATATAAAAATATATATTACGGGAAGTTAGAATAAATAAAGATAAAATAAAATAAAAACTAACTTGATGATCGTTGCTTAATAAAAGGGGACTAGGGTTCTATTTTTTGTTATAAGATTTTTTCATAATAAATCATTAGAAAAGTGTGAAGAAGAAAAAAGACAAAGATATAGATTGAAAAAAGGAGATTGAAGAACAAAGAGATTAATTAAAGAAGATTCTCATGGATCAAGGTTAGTTTTTTTTATTACGATTCATGTATGTTATTATGTAACAATCAAGAATATAAAGATCTTTCTATTATGATTCATGTATCTTATTATGTGACAATAATCTAAAGATTTGTAGAGTAGTTTTCTAGAATGAAATAAGATTTGTGTAGAGTAGTTTTCTAGAGTGAAATAAGATTTGTAGAATAGTTTTCTAGAATGAAATATGATTTCTAGAGTAGTTTTCTAGAATGAAATAGGATTTCTATAGTAGTTTTCTAGAATGAAATAAGATTTCTATAGTAGTTTTCTAGAATGAAATAGGATTTCTATAATAGTTTTCTAGAATGAAATAAAATTTCTATAATAGTTTTCTAGAATGAAATAGGATTTCTAGAATAGTTTTCTAGAATAAAATAGGATTTTTAGAGTAGTTTTCTAGAATAAAATAGGAACATTTTACATGATTTCAAAGCCAGCTTATTAGATTCATGATTTTAGTTTTTTTTAAATTAAGATAAACTTCAATTATTAATTATGAATTTATGAATTTCTCTATCAGATCAACTTGAATCTTAATTTTTTTTTTCAAAATTGAATAAACCTTACTTTTTATGTTTTCACCCGCAATCAATTTTAAATTAAAACCAATTTATAACCCTGTGTGAATGGTTGTGCATTGAATTGTGAGTGAACTCATAATTGATTTTAATTAAATATTAAAATGTGAATCGATATTTTAATAATAAAAATTTTGATTAGAAAGATAAATATATGATTAGGTTAAAGTGAATTAACTGATTAATTATGATTAAGATATCGTTTTTTTTTGAAAGTGTTGTCTGTATGCACCATGCGCATGCAATATTTTGCGTCGTTCATGTTTCAAATCATTTTGATAATGAATAATTAGCTATTTTATCCGTACTCTACATTTTATTTTGTACCTATTATTTTTTCATAATTTGTTCATATTTCAAATGATTTTTGTGGCTAATTTGATGCAATGTATTAGATCTACATAATAATATGTCTACCTTTATATTATACATGTTTCTATATGTTATTTTGTCCATTACATATCATTTTGTCTACCTCTTATTTATTTTGTACATATTAAGTGTTTTTGACAAATGATTCATATGTAAAATAATGTGTTGAACTCGAACTTTATTGTTACGTATTAATTATAATTAATTATAATGTGAGTTATTTTTATATTTTGGTTCCTATTAAGTGTTGTTGACAAATTTTTCATATTTATTGATAGTTAGTTAATGTTATTTTTATATTTTGGTGAACTGTACAATATACTTATTGTTATTTGTTAAGTATATTGTTATTTGTTTGGTTAAAAATTTTAAAATCCTTTGTAACGTGGATAAAGGAGAATTATAGAGTTATTTTTATGTTTTAGTAAGTTATATAATATACTTATCCAATTAATAATTATTAGTTGTTTGGTTGAAAATTGTTATTTGTTTAGTTGAAAATTTTAAAATCTAATTTATGAATAATTAACCTTTAAGATATAAGGTAGTTTAAAGCTTATTGTAAATATAAATTTCAAGATCTAAGTTATTTTGATTTTAAATTATTAATGATTTTATTTTAATTATTTAGAATGTATACTAAAATTATGAATAATTTATTTATTGATTAATTAAAATATATTATTATTTTTTGTGTATAAATTTCAATATCTAAGATTATTTTAATTTTAAATTATTAATAATTCTATTTTAATTATTCATATTAACACAGTATCAATACATGCTAAAATTATGAATAATTTATTTATTAATCAATTAAAGTTTATTATTATTTTTTTTTATGTTGGTCACTAGTTTTAGATTCTCTACATTCGACGGGACAATCAAATGACGATGATTGGAGAGAGGGAGTGTATCAGAGGGTAATTACTTATTTTTCTCTCATCTTTATTTTTTAAATAAATTAAAATTTAACATTGTAACACAAATAAATATTTTTTTTAGATAATCTTATACACTGTACCACAAATAAATAGAAAAAAAATATAAATATAATAATAAAAAATTTATACACTGTACCACAAATAAATTTTAGAAAAAAAAATAAATATAATTCAAGTATATAAATATTAGAAAAAAATATAAATATAATTCAAGTATATAAATATCATGATTAAAAATATGATAAAGAATATTTTAATAGAAAAAGATTATGTTAATTAAACTCAATTTGACATCTCACTCCAAATTTTCTTTTAAATTGTCACATAAATATCTCTAATATTGCCATAGGTTAACCTAATCAAGAAAATCTTAATGTAAAATTGTACAATTTTATTTTCAAATTAATTTTATATTAAGAAAGTTAGTATAGAGGAAATTCTTTGTTTTTGAATTTTTTATAATCACAGTCTTTCTTAAAAAAAAAAGAGTATACCGTGAATTTCAATGTTACGATGATATTAGAACGCATTTAAAGTTAACAAAATTACTGATTAGACTAAAAAAATCTATGATTGCTTACAATCATGCTTTGTTAATGGAACAAAATTAGTACAAATCTTATAGAACAAGAGGTTACAAGGTTCTAGTCCATTGAATATTTGACTTTGTTCATTTAATTGACAGATTAAGTACATGAGAGAAACTTTCTCGCCAGATATACATGAAATACTTGACGAAGTTACCACTAAAATTCAGCAGGTATGTTTGGTGAAACTGCAATGGAAATATAAAAAAGTTTTTTGCATCATTTTTATTCTGGAAAACATTGGAGAGTGCAGAGAGTTTTTATTGGTTTTAACCCTGTATCTTCTTTTCTTTATCAGCACTATTCCTCTCAAAACCTATTAGAGCCAGATATTCTTGAAATGCAGAAGGAAATTAAAATGATGTTGGAACGTATTATATCATTCCTTGCCCTTAACAAGAACGAAATATTACCTGGTATGAGGGAGATAGTGCGTTCATACGAGAATAAACTGATGAATTACATCAATGAATACAGACTTAGGAAAAGCATGCCTCCATTGCAGTCTGACCATATGCCATCAAATTTGGTCGACCGTGCATCAACAACGCAGCAGATTAATACGGCAGTCTCGAATCATATTAGACTGTTTGGGGTATCTATACAAAAACCGAGAACGACTGATACGTGACCAAGTACCAAGTCAGATCGATTCAGATAACTCACATCAACAAAATCTCTATTTTGATACCAACTAAATTCTCTTTTTGTAGTACAATAAGAGATTGCTATCCTGCAATAAAGAACACTTTTTATCTGTGTTGTCATATGGCATCATATATTTTCTAGTTCAGTATGTGCAAAACTTGATGTATGGAGTCAATCATCTGAGTCACACGTTCAAATATATCATCGTCAAGGTCTAAACTTTTATTTCCAATAATATTCTCACATTTGTCAAAATATATTATCATGATTATGAAGTAAGATAATTGAAATTCTAGCGTTTTTACAAATGGAAAATAATTAAATAACATGATTTTGAATCGTTGACAAATATTTTGTTTAATTCATTCGAGCCTCACAGTAATATTTGTTAGATTGAAACCTGCCTTATTATTGGTCTTTATTGGGCCAGTACTTAATTTTAATTTATTTAAAATGAATTTTTTTGCATACCAGATGTATTGGGCCTATGTTAAGATTATGTTTTCTTTATCCAATCTAGGGCATATCTAATTAAAATTTTAAATTGGAAAGATTTAATTATATTTTGATACTTTTACTTTAGCTTGCGAGAAATGTTAGTTTTTATAGTTTTAATTATATAATTTTGGTCCATAATTTAAAAAATGAATAATTTTGGCCTCTATAGATTCAACTATGCAATTTTATTCCACACATTTTAATAATAGACAATTTTAGTTCTACCGTTAATTACTATCCAATTTTTTACTATTGTGATTGTGTGATAATCCAACTAATTAGTTAATTTGTTTTAATAAATTATTAATATTTAAATTAAATAATTTAACTTGTGAAAAAAAATAATCAATATTATGTTATTGCTTCATATATATATATATATATATATATATATATATATATATATATATATATATTTTTTAATTTCATGGAATAAGTTTGAGATTTAAAGGTGTATAATTTCGTAGTTGGTTAGGATAACAGGGCATGTATATAAGAAAAGGGCACTGGTTTGTGCTTTACTTTACCATAGTTACTGTCATTTGAAAAGGAAATCGACCCCAGAGTTCAGTGAAAGTGTCTTTCGTTTTTGGAAGTGGTAGGGGCTGATGTGATCTTTGACCAGCACATTAACGAATCAGAGACAAACCAAGGTCTTACGGAGTAAAGTTGAAATTACAGACAAAAGTAAAGTATCTTTTAGATTCACTACTATAGAATGACTCCATCTTTACTTTCATTTGACTAGATTTGA